ACAGACACAGGCGATAAAGGACGCTTGAAATTCAACAATGAGGACATAGAACCCAAGTTAAAAATGGACCGAAGACCTAACAGACACCTCACCAAGGGAGATACAGAGAGAGCAAGAAAGCGTATAATGTGATACTCTACACCATCTGTCATCAAGGGTATGCAAATTAAAACAATGAGGTACTGTCACACACCTACTACAATGGCCATGATCTGACCACTCCGAATCGTGGTGAGAATGTGAACCACCAGGAACTCGCATTCATCACTGTACAAAACGGTACAGCCACATCGGAAGATAGTTTGGCAGTTTATTACAAAAATAATGTCACTGCTACATTATGATCTAGCAGCCACACTCTTTGGGATACACACAAAGTAGTTGAGCACATATCCACGCAAAAACATACATGCACGCATGTATGTGTACATTAGCTGTATTCATAACTGCCAAAACGTGGAAGCAAACAAGATGCTCTTCAGTATTTGAATGGACACATAAAATGTGGTCCATCCAGACAATGGAATATTATTCATTGCTAAAAAGAAATGAACTGTAAAGCTGTGAAAGCATATAGAGGAAACGTGTATTCACATTGCGACGTGCGAGAAGCCCATCTGTAAAGACACATACAGGATTTTAACTATTTAACGTTCTGGAAAAGGCAAAACTGTGGAACAGTAAAAACATCAGTCGTATCCAGAGATTAAAGAGGTTGATAAATAAAGCAGGAGGACTTTTAGGGCAGTGAAAGGCTCTGTACGCTACTACGGTAACGGATACGTGTCATGGCACACACGGGGACCCAGCCCCACCCTGGGAGGACCCGCCTGGAGCAGGGGTCCTAGGCTCACCCCTCAGGAGGAGGCAGAGTTGATCGGCGAGCCCGAGGCCGTGACGAAGCGAGCCCGGCAGGTAAGTCACGCGAGGCCCGAGCAGGTGGCGCAAGCCCGTCTCTGTCACAGGCAGAGTCTCCAGGGAACCCAGGCCTCCGTCCCTCTCCCGGACATGCTTGGCTGGACCAGAGCTTGTCCCACGTGCGGACTCCATGGAAAAACTAGCCAATTCCTGGGTTTGCTCAAGCGGAAGACAGAACTTGCAGTCCGAGGCTCCTACCGAACGCCCCTCCGTGCTGGGCGCTGCGTCCACCTACCACATATCCCCGCCACCTCGAGGTGCCTGCAGCCATGGCCGGCCGGTGTCACCGCTTACGGACATGTTCCAGTTCCTGCTCTGGCCACGGGCCTCTCCTGGGGCTTCTGTTTCTGTCTGGTGTGCAAGGCGTAAAAACAGTGCGGCTGTGTTTTTTAACTAGGTTGTCGCCAGCATCATATTCCTCGGGGGATGGCCTGGGAACGGGCCAGTGATCAGGATGCAACCCCGACAGCTTCCTCCTCTGTCCAGAGACAGCAGCGAGGCTGCCTCCCGGCTGTGCGACCAAGTGGACAAAGAGGTCCACGGGCCGGTCCTCACCTCCAACCAGTGTCTTCAGGAGCTGGGGAGTGTGCGGGAGCTGAGGACCCTCCAGGAGGGAGGTGACCAGGCCGGCTGGGATCGAGGCTGTAGGGCCGAGGGCCAGGGCCTCTGCCTGGAGTGCGGCCTCAGCTAGGACATTCACATGGCCGCACACCTGGCCAGCGGGCCGTGCCCCTGAACTGGTGCGCGGGTGTGCGCTTACGCCTTTGGAGGGTGTCGGGAGGAGAGGCCAGACACCCTTGGACGCACAAGGAAACACAGCCCCTGAAAGAGAGGAACCGAGTGACCGAGGAGAGGGGCCAGTCGGACGGGAAAACAGTCGCCTCTTTCAAAGAGACCTTTTCCTCAGGACGTGGCTGGGCCTGTGGGTTCAGGTCCACACGTCCCTGTGCGAGCCCCTCCCCAGTTCTGGAGATGCCCCATTCACCTCCGGGCAGCAGCAGAAGGGAAGGCGATTCTGCGGGTGCCAAGCTGCGTGCGGGGGGCAGGTCTGCAGGCTCTGCCAGCGGTTTCCTCCCCAAGCATTGTGGGAGTGGCTGCCTCCCCCACTCCCGAAGTCCGGGCGTCCCCTCGTCCCCTGTCATCAGGTGACAGGCACACTGCCACTGCCAGGCTGCCCCACCCACCTCTGCTTCAGGTGCTTCCAGATTGTGGCTGTATGGCCAGACATTAGCAGCTCTGCAGGAGGGGTGTGTGGCCAGGCCAGCCGCTGCCCTGCTCCCCCAGCCCTGACTGAGCCCGCGGGGGTCTCGCCACCCAAACCCCCGTGACCAGCATATCCAAGAGGCCAGCATCAGGCTCTTCCTGAGGGCTTAGGTGTTCCTCCCGCAGGAAGGCCAGGCCCCTGGTGTGGTCACTCCCCAGAGGCCCGGCTGAGGGAGTGGAGACCACCCCTACCTGCCCCCATCTCTGGGTGCCTTTGAGAGCACTCCGCCAGGAGGAGCTCCAGGACACCTGGGGCCCTCGCCCACCTGCCCAAACCCTGTGTGCCTCTGGAGCTTGGCCAGAGGTTGGCTTCCGGCGAGGCTTCATCACAGCAGCGCTGTCACTAGGGCTGTCAGGGACCCTATGGGAGTTCCCCAAACCCGAGTCACAGCAGGGATGTGCCGCTGCGTGCCGCAGTCTGCTTGTCAGGGCGAGGCCACTTCCTCCACAGAGATCTGTCCTTGCCCAGCCCCAAATGCTTCTTAAAATGGATGTGCGTCCACCAGCCACCGGGAGTGCCTCACAGATAAGGCCTCTGCTGTGACAGGCCTGGGGGCCGAGGGGCCAGTGGGAGGAGCCAGGGGAGGGTGAAAGGGTCCTTCTTTGACAGCTGTGACGGGCCTGGAAGAGATGCGGCTCCTCCAGGGAGAAGCCAGGCCGAATGCGAGAGCCTCGGCCCAGGCCCAAGTTCGGGGTCTGCAGATGACACACCTCAGTCCCCGGCCACAGGTCCGCAGCCCTCAGGCCTGAGGTCACCCCTATCACGCCCCGCCCCTCCGTCTTTCCGCTCGCACACCTGTGCGGCCCGGCGCCTCCGCCGCGGTGGGAGCACAGGCCCCGCTCTCCCGCGGAGGCCCAGGCAGGTGCAGGCCTCAGTGCAGGCCGAGCCCTCTTCTGGGCTCCTCAGGCTGCAGGCAGTGGTCACAGGCAGTGGTCACAGGCAGGTCACAGGCAGTGGTCACAGGCAGGTCACAGGCAGTGGTCACAGGCAGTGGTCACAGGCAGGGCCACCACGGTGCGGCTTGGACGCAGGGCGAATGTAACTGGAATCTCGGGTTCTCTTCCTTTTTAACAAGCCGTGTGTGGTCAGTGGAGGGGTCCTGGAGTTAGGATCAGGGTGCCGGTCACCACCTGCGAGCCTGGGACGAGGCTGCACCCTGCTTCCCAAGGCTCCGGGGGGGCGGGGGGCACAGCAGCTGGGCCTGAAGCTCTGCAGAGCCGGCGCTGGGTGGTCCGGTCGGTGTGGCCCTCGGCAGATGAGGGGTGAGCACAGGAGCCTGGGCAGACGTCCCCCAGGAGACCGGGACTAGGCATGGCGGGGCCGCACACGGTGACTCGCCAGCTGTGTAAACTGCTTTGTTACTTTTCAGTGTTGACTTTTCCCAAAATTAGGAACAAAAATAAATGGGACACGTTTCTACGACGCGACTGAACTTTACTAGGTCTGTTTTGTCCGGGGACGTCTCCTGGGTTTATAACCTGGGTCACCAGGGAGCCCAGCTCCTGTGCCTTGAGGGCACATGGCAAGGACAGCAGGGTGTCACTCTGGGGACTGGCAAACACCCTCTGGTGACATTGGGTGAAGTCCCACTGCCTCACACACACACCATACCCGCCTGACTGTGGCGGGACCCACCCTGGAAGCTGACATCTTCCCATCCATCCTCCCTGGCTCAGAGGGCACAGCTGCTTGACAGGACCCTGAGGGGTGCCCCCCCCATGCCCACACCCCTGAGCTGCCCTTTGGCCCCGTCTCCCACTGCCTTTGTCTGCCTCTCGCCCTCCTTCTCGTACTGTGTGTCTCTCTGTGTCTCTGTTCCAGCCGTGACCTCCCCAGACCAGCGCTTGTCCAGGCGGTCCGGGAGCTAACTGCTCCAGCCCTGCCCCAGATGATGGTGACGTGTGTGCGTCGGGGCTGGGGTCAGGTCAGTCAACAATTATTTCACAGCTGTTGGTATTGGGCTCTGTGACAAAAGACAAAGTAACAAGAGAAAGTTTCTAGGTGGCATGGGAGACCTCACAGAAAATGAGCTGAGCGAGGCCTAAGCATTTCTCCACTAAGTCGAGCAAAGAGGCAAACATGGAAAGCACCTGAACACGCGGGGGACTGAAGGGAGAGGAGCTACTTGGCGAGGTCCAACCCGTCCCTCGAGCGAGAGGAGGGCCACTTCCGCCCGGAGCTCCTGCTTCCCGGGGGAGAGCGGGGCCGTCGCACCTGCTATTTTTCAAGCGCTTCCGACTCCAGATAATCCTCGCGCCGAAGTGGCATATCTGGGGCAGCGTGTTCTGCCGCCTTCAGAGTGGACAGCTGGACATCACGCCAGGGAGGCGTCACAGCCCCTAGGGCCACGTCCCACCTCGGTGCCACCTGATGTTTGGGTCCCAGGCTTGCAGATGAGGAGGACGCAGGCGGCTGGGGGACGGGCCTAGAGCTGGGGTAAACGTGTCCCACCCAAGGAGGCTGCCCCGGGACGAGCTTACTGCCGCTCCCCAGCGCGGGCCAGCCCCGCAGTGGGCACAGGCGGCACTGGGCAGGGGCCCAGGCCCCCACCCCCCCGAGCCAAGCGCTCAGGAAGCTCTGCTTTCACCAGCTGAGCTCCACAAGGACATGCTGGCCATCCCCGGACACCTTGCCCAGCGCCAAACAGGCACCCGGGACCAAAATAGTCATCAGATGACCACGGGGCTGGCTCATCACATCCCGGAGCGACCTGCTCCCAGCAGCTGCAGCTAAAGATAGGCGCGGAGGGCGGACGCTGCCTTGGGGAGACGCGTAAGGGGACAGCACGGCCCTGCCTTGGCCGTCGCCGGCGGGCACGATGAGGTCGCTGCGCTTCGCTTCCGCTGAGGCCCTGGTGTCCCACCCTCAGGTGGCCCTGCAGAGCCTGGACAGTGTGGCCTACAACCTCTACCCTCTCCTGTTCAAAGCCGGCTACTTGCTGGAGCGGGCGGAGGTGGTCCGAGCGCTGCTGGGGCGCTGGCCGCTGGAGGAGTTCCGGCTGGGCGCTCTGCTGGGGCCCAGCGCGGACCACGAGGCCGACCTGCGGGACCGCGCCTGCAGGGCCTGCCTGGAGGCCTGCGTGAGGGGCCTGGCGGAGCACGTGCTCCAGGGCGGGGGCCGGCGGCGGCTGCAGCTGGCCGACCTCACGGGAGTCCAAGACGTGCAGGTGCAGCAGTGCCCCTGCGGGAGGGCACTGGGCAGGTGGGGCCGCACCGAGCTGCTGGCCAGGACCTGCTGCGAGCTGCAGGCCAGCCCCCAAGCGGCCCGGCGCCCCGTCAAGGTCCTGACTGATCTGTTTGTCACTGAGGGCAACTTCCAGGTGGTGGTGCAGGCCCTAGGGCCAGCGGGCCCCGCCCCGCTGCAGGTGCACTGCCTCTCCTTCCGAGCGGACAGCCTGGGGCCCGACCAGCTGCTGCAGGTGCTGCGTCTGACTGGGCCCAGCGATCTCCGCAGGCTGCAGGTGGTGCACAACGTGCGGCTGCACGCGGGCCACGTGCAGCAGCTGCTGGCCCAGGTGCGCTTCCCCCGGCTGGCCTCGCTCACCCTGCCTGCCAAGGCCTTCGACGCGCCCCCTGGCTGCACCCCGGTCACCGATGGCGAGGACCCCCTCCTCACCTCCATCGCCTGGGAGCTCAGCCAGATGACCCAGCTCACCGAACTGAGCGTGGCTTTCTCCACACTGACCGGGAAGATCCAGAGACTGCTCGGGTGAGTCTGGGGTGACCCTGGGGTGACCAGATAGAGGCAGGCAGGGGGGACACAGTCTCTGCTCACAGCCCCTCACCTGGGCCAGAGAGACAGGGCTCTCTCGGGGGGCAGGTAAAGATGCACCAGGGACGCTGTGCTGGGTTCTCGTGACTTACAAGGGGCCCAGAGCAGCAGGAGGGGCAGACTGGTGGGCGGGGGGTGAAGCACGGGGAACTCACGGGGAATTGTTTTCAGTTAGTAAGCAAAAGAGGAAAGTACTAGTTAGCAAACCAGTAACGCAAAAGTAACCGCATCGTATTGTGTTAACTACCCGCAGAACAGGAAAAGGCGGTCCCTAGCCGTCGGCGGGCTGCGCTATCCTCGAAGGCTCGGTGGGGCGGGAAAGTGGGTGATCTGCTTCCAAGTTCACTCATGTGGCGATGGGTTGGCAGCCGGGCTGCATGCCACGCGGGCTCTGCACAAGTGACCGCGGCCGGGAGTCCTCAGAGCCGCAGTGCCGGGTGCAAGGCCGTGCTCATCGCCTCCTCCTCCCATTGAGAGCTGTCACCTCTGCGTGAATGTTGGCTAGGAGCCGCCAGCATGCGAGGGCCGGAGCGCAGGGCAGCTAGCGGGCCACCTCAGTGGCCGCCTGCCACGAATACACTTAAGAAAATTTATAGAAAATTTAACTTCTCACTTCTTGAGCCAGGGAGTGTGAAGGTGTCTTTTCTAGTTTAGGAGGCCCTTGGCATACAGCTGTTTCTCTTTTATACAAAGGAACCGCAGAAGTCACCAGCCCAGACGGTGGCGGCCACACTCCCCCCACCGTAGGAGGTGTCGGGCCCCCAAGACCACCCAGGTTTGGTGATTCTTAGGAGGACTTGGCACGCAGTCGTCCTCACGGCTGTGATGTATCACAGAGAAAGGACACAGAGCACCAGCCACAAAGGGAAAAGGCGCGTGGGGAGAGGCCTGGGGGGCCAGCAGAGCCCCCCAGCACCGAGCTGGGAGGATTTGTGAATGTGCCATCTACCAGGGAGCCTGTTAGGCACCCACACCCAGGTGTCTTCGAGGGCTGGTAGGTGAGCTGCCAGGCCAGGCACACACCAAGATTCCAGACTGCAGAAGGAAGTGGGTGCTCAGCGCGAACCGCACCGTTTGTGTCCGTAAGCCGGGGCAGGGACCACTCTTCAGCTGGGTGGTGGGACTGTGCCGAGCCCAAGCCCCAGGTACAGTCCACCCAAGGCCGGCAGCCAGACCTGCTCTGCTCACCATTTTGCACACAGGAGGCCAGGCCAGGTGTGAGCAGTGCAGGTGGCGAGCAGGGCTCAGGCCTGGACCCAGTTGAGGGGGAGCTGGCAGGGCTTCCTCATGGGTGGATGAGGCTCGAAAGAAACAGAAATGGAAACGTTCACCACAATTCAGTGCAGAGCCACAGTTCAAGGCCGGGGCACCTGCCTTCCGCAGAGCCGGGCGAGGCTGCAGGGAGCAGGCCGCGGGGCAGAAGCAGGTGCTCAGCATGCACGGAGCACAGGGGCGGGAGGCAGCAGGGCAGGGGGAGGCCGCCTCAGCAGGAGAACGGCAAGGACATGGGGCAGGACCCCGAAACCCTCCTGTGCTCAGCGCTCAGCCTGGGGACCCCAGGTGGAGGCCCGGTGTCCTGGGTGCGGGTGGACTGAGAATGTGCATCCGTCACAGGTCCCCAGAATGGGTGCTGTTCCCGACTTGGAGAACCGCTGGCCATAGCAGGGTCTCCCTGGGCTGTGCGTGTGTGAGTGGGGCTGCCTACGCCCCCTCCGACAGAATGGGGGGGTCTCGTAGGTCCCAGGCAATGATGTCGCCAAGGCCCTTTCCAGCCCTAAAATTGTGTGGCTTCTGCTCTTGGAGCGAAGCGGGGTGTCTCATCTCCTCCCAGTTCTCACGCATCCCACTGACCCACAACGAGCACATGAGCCGACATCCTCTGCAGGGACACGGGCATCCCTTCCCTCCCTCAGCCCGCAGAGGGGGTCAGCAAAGCAGACTCATCCTGCGGGAGCTGAGGACAAAGGCCAGGCCTGCCCTCGGTAACGTGAACTTCCCCATGGCAGCCTAGCGCTGTCTCGAGAATGCAACTGTGCCTCTCCGGACGGCACGCGGATGACGCGCAGGGCTGTGTCCCAACAAGGCTTCATTCAAACGTGGATGCGTAGCGTTTCCCCATGCCACAGTGTCTGCTTCTCCTTTTGATTTGTTCCACTAGTTAAAAACGTCAAAACTATTTCGGCTCCCAGGCAGAACGAAATCAGGCAGCGGGTGGCCTGGGCTCTCTGGCCATGCTGGCTGCTGAGACAGGAGCCCCTCCCTGACCCCTCACCTGTGCCTTCTCCGCCGCCCTGCAGCCCCCTGAGGACCCCGCTGAGAGTGCTGGACCTGGCCAACTGCTCCCTGAACCACGCAGACCTGGCCTTCTTGGCAGACGGGGCCCACGCCGCCCACCTGGAGGTGCTGGACCTCAGTGGGCATAGCCTGGTCCACCTGTTCCCGTCGACCTTCTCCAAGCTGCTGGGCCGCGGGGCCCGAACGCTGCGGTCCCTCACTCTGGAGGAGTGTGGCATCGAGGACAGCCACGTGAGCATGCTGGCTGTGGCCCTGGGCCCCTGCCACCAGCTGCAGGAGCTGCGCCTCCTGGGGAACCCGCTGTCCGGCCTCGCGCTGCGGCGCCTCTTCCGGGCCCTCTGTGACCTGCCCTGGCTGCGCCTGGTGGAGTTCCCGGTGCCCAAGGACTGCTACCCGGAGGGCAGCGCCTACCCCCAGGATGAGCTGGCCATGTCGCGGTACGACCAGCAGAAATACGACGCCATTGCCGAGGGCCTGCGCAGGGTGCTGGTGCGGGCCGGCCGCGACGACATCCAGGTCTGCACCCCCGTCTTCGGAAGTTTCGACCCAGACATTCAGGAAACGAGCAGTGAGCTCGGAGCTTTCTTGCTGCAAGCCTTCAGGACGGCCCTGGAAAACTTCTCCCGGGCCCTGAAGCAGATGGAGTAGGCCCCGCGGCCGGCGGGGGGTGGGGGGCGGCAGTGCCTGCACCACCTTCCACCGTCCAAAGCATCTCTTAGTGAATGTTGCTCACGGTGTCCCTTAGGCGCCCCGGAGAGGGAGGCCTTCTTCCCAGGAGATGTGACAGAGGCCTCGCTTGAATGGACGATGCCCTGGGGGTCAGCAGAAGTGCCACAGCGGGGGGCACAGGGCAGCCCTGGGGACCTGAGCATGGCTGCTGTTTGCAGAGCCTCTGGCGGTAGTGAGCTCGCAGGCGGGGCGGGAGCCCAGAGGTGGCAGGAGCAGGACATCGGGCTGGTGTGACTGGGGCGGGGAATGAGAGACCGGGTCACAAACCCGAGGACAGAAAAACCACCGACTGCTCTACCCCTCCCCCTCGGCGTCAGCTGTGCTGCTGCTTCCGCGGTGGCCCCAGCGACGTCTGCTTGAATATTCACAAAGCGAAACTGGGCTTCAGCTAATGGCTTCTGTCCACCTCCGAGAGGGTGGGTGTGTTCAGCTCTGCTGCTGCTGGCTGAGCCGAGGAGCGTGGGGTCAGCGCGGTCAAGGACCTCGGGAGAGTGGCTGTCACTACGGGAACCCGCCCGCCGCCCCGTCCTTCAGCCTCCGTGGGACCCCCCGCAGGGGTCAGGGCCGTCTTCTGCAGTTCTCAGTGCTGGCGCCTGACGGGGCCTGAGGGACTCGATTCTGCCATCCCTGAGCTGTGCGGAGGTGAACATGAGGGCGACCGAATACAAGTAAAACTGAAGTGTGGCTCATTCCCATGTGGTTTTAACCTCAATGCAGATCGGAAGTTTTTAAGAAACCTGAGTCTGAAAATAAAAATTTCTAAAGACAGAAGCTACAGCTTGACCTTGCCAAAGCCTCTCCCACCTCGGCCACCCACAGTGCTCCCTGAGGGTTTGCCGCAGCGCGTGAGCAGCTGCCGCTCCCCGGTGTGCCCCATGACTTTCTCCCACCACGGTGGCCCCTGGTTGTGGGTCCTAGTGACACAGGGTCTGCCTGCTGGGTGGCAGCACCTCCCTCCTCAACAGCAAGAGCGGAGGGAGCTGGTGCCTCGTGACGCGCCTGCTCCTGGGCTCTGCTCTCTGATCACCCGCCGCGCACCTCGGATCCTGTGCCCGTAAAGTCTCTGCCTCGGGCGGGTGAGTTCGCTCCTGTAAGAAGCTCTTGGGCAGAGAGTAGACACCGGGCAAAATTCTGAAATGATTTGATTCTTACTGTGAAGAGCAGAGTAGCGTCCACTGTTTGTAGAATTCTCCTGATGACAGACTCGGCCTCTGGTGCCAGCTGGACAGAACCCTGGCATGTGCGGAGCTGAGCCCAGCAGCTGTGGTACAGAAGGGTCCAGGGGTGCTGTGATGCCTGGGGCCCCTGGGGAGCAGCCCATTTTTATGCAGCCCAAGGCCTTGGAGCAGCCCCAGCCCCAGCTGACTGCGCATGTGCGTGCGACCGACTGGTTCCTGTGGGCCCACTCAGCCCCGCCCAACTGTGCCCCTTCCAGCCACAGGGGTTTTCACTGCACCTGCAAGCCTGTGACTTGTGGCTCTGACATAGCCTGACATGACAGCAGCTGGGACTGGTTTCTGATGGCCCAGGAGCAGAGGACATGGCCCCCCATACATAGGCAAACTGTGGGCATAAGAAAAGGCACTCAGAAATGTCTAATCACCACGCTGTACACCCAAAACTAATATTATATGTCAACTATAATTGAAAATTAAATTTAAAAAGGCAAGAAAATATACTTAGTACCAGAGGCCAGACAGGAGAATGGAATGGAGACAACATGAGACCAGTGTCCCGTACGCCGCCCTCTATGCCCACACCCACTAAGGACTCGCTTGAGCTCTCTGGGGGCAGCTTCTTTGTCTCTAGCATGGGTCTGAAGATCGAAAACGTGTCCGCATAAATTCCGTTAAGATTCAGTGTGCAAACTGTACCCAACAGAGCAGCTCAGTGATCATACTCTGCAATTAAATTGAAATTTTCTGGAACCTAATATTTTTAGTAGTTCGTCTTATTGCCATATAGACAGATGAGCAGGCAGCCAGGGTGGAAACAAGATTTGAAAGCAGATGGACATAATCCGGTCTCTGCCAGGCCATGTACTATCACATGATGGTGAGGAATCTACTGGTGGCTCAGAGCCAAACTGCCATGTCTGCGATGGCTCAACATTGCCACCGGAGTGGCCTGGGGCAGGCAAACTTCTCCTGAGCTCCGTGCAAGTTCCTGCACCTGTAAAATAAGGATGCACAGAAGAGCTCACACAATGGGCCGGCGACAGCTGTCCTCCTGAAGGCAGCTCGCAAGGCTGGCCTTTGGCTGGCATCTGGGAACCTGGGTGTGGGGAGGGTTCCTACCACATTATCCAGAAGGAGCGCTCGCTGTGCCTGAACCCTGTGGAGTTTGGACTGAATGCCTGCTTTCCTTCCGGGGCTCTGGAGTTTGCTGGGGACGTGCCATGCCAGGCAGAGTGCCTATGTGGCCAGCCCTCAACAGAAACCCTGGGCGCTCTCTCTAAGGAGCACCCCTGGGTTGGCGACTTCTCACATGTGGTGTCACAGCTCATTGCTGGGGATCAAGTGCCCTGAGAGGGGACTCTGGGGCTGTGCCTGGGGTACTCACCTTGCACTGGGTGTCTTTCCCTTTGTCTCTTCCACACACACAATCTCAGCTGTGAGCACAGCTCTGCGCTGGGTCATCAAACCTAGGGGCGGTCTCAGCCCCTGGACCCCGCAGCAGGAAGGTACTTACAACGCAGTAATAGGGCTGGGGCTACCTGAGCGACATGTGCACAGCACAGTAAAGGCTGGTTCATAGTGGCTTTGTGAGAAACGGGGTCCTGAGCACCTGCTCACCTTTCAGCGTGTGGCAAAGACAGAGATAATCTACACAAAAACCTTTCGTAAAGAGTAAAGAATGACACACATAAAAACTTGCTGCTTTTAAACTGGTTTTATTATATGTCATCGCTAATAAACAACATCTGTTTATCGAACACAGACACAAGCCACACTTTAAACCCATACGGGGGATCGGCTGGATTCGAGAAGCCCTTTTTTCCCTTTTTAGGAGAGCTCTTTAACACAATATAAGACCTTGGTGTTACTACTTTCCTATAACCGCTAGGCAGTCCTACCCATTATCTGACAATTTCTAAATGTAATTCTGGGAGAGAAGAAAATAATTCAAAGAAAAAAACAGAACTCATTCAAGGAGTGATTAAAATCAGATAAAATTTCTTACAAGAGGAACACTACTGTATTTGACTTTCTTAAAAACAATTTTACCCTAGAGCTAAGATGTGAGGTTACACTCTCTGTTCAATAAAATGCTGACTGCTTTCAGAAAAGGCTTCTGAAAGCTCCCTTCACAGCTGAAGAGGATCGGGGAGGGACCCTCTTTGTCGGCCACGGCCTGCTGTCCTGCACAGAGGGTGGCAGGCTGGGAGGCCACTCTGCTGACAGGTGGCTGCATGTACATGTGGCCACAACACAGAAAGCACTGGAAGGAAAAAGAAAGCATCGGATAACTCAGAATGCCACGACGACAGTCTGACCTGGAGTCAGT